AACAAAACAAAATTACAGCCTTTTCTTGTCCCCTATGCCTTACAATCTATAAGAAACACTCTTTCATTCCCAATATAGCTAAGCTTCTTCAATGTGTATATCATATTCCTTATCAGTCCTTCTCAGTCCTCGCTCCCCAACCCGCTAAAATCTGTCTTCTCTCCTCCTGCTGTACGGATGTCATCATTGACCTCCTAATTGCCAAATCTAATGAACATGTTTTTTAAATGTTTTATAGTGTGTTTTATCTGATTACAGGAGGGGTACACATCATGAACAAAGTTATGACAAATGACAGACTAGACTGAAAAAAACTTGAACTATATAACAGGCAACGGGTAAATATCCCTCATAAATATAATGTTCTAACAAACAAATTAAATATATAACCCAAAAGAAAAACGTACAAAGGATATAAAGGAGCAAGTCTCAGGAAAAATACAAATAGCTAACACACATGAAAAGATGTTCAGCCTCACTAGTGATCAGAGAAATGCCAAGTTAAGTCAATTAGATACTATTTTTCACCTATCAGACTGGCAAAAATAAAAAGATTGTCCATCCCCAGCAAGGGCATAAGGAAAAGTACTCACAATGGTGAAAGTATAAACTCTTTTGGATGTCACTTTGGTGATGTCTATTGAAATTTTTAAGTGCACATATTCTTTGACCCAGCAATTCTCCTACTAGAAAGCTATCCCACAAAAATACCTGTGTATATATATCCTTGAGCATTGTGCAAGGATATTTGTTGCAGTCTTATGGTGGCTTGAACTAGGGTGATAGGCAGAGGAGATGGAGACATGTGGCAAAATACATGATACCGTTTGAAAATCAGGTCAGCAGGACTTCCTGATGAATTGAATGTGAGGGGGTGGTGGGTAAGAGAAAGAGAAAAATCAAGGTTGACCCTAGGTTCTTGGTTTTAGCAACTGGATGAATGATGGTGCCATGTTACTGAGATGGGAGGCTGAGGGAAGGGGTTGGGGATGTGAAAGCAATGAGGAGTCCTGTTTTGGCCATGTTACATGTTTGATAGACAAGTAGACATATAAAATTAGTCATTGAATATATGAGGCTGCAGCTTAGAAGAAAGGCCTAGGTCAAAGACATAAATTTGGGAGTGATGAATGTCTAGATAGATGTTATTTAAAGCCATGGGGCTGTTTGAGAGCCTCTAGGATATTCTGGATGGAGAAAAGTCCACAGACTGATCCCTAGATTGCTCCAATGTTCAAAACTTGGGGAGATAAATTTAGTAAAAGAAGAAGCTGAGCAGTTTCTTTTTTTTTTTTTTTCCTTTTTGTCTTTTTTCATGACCGGCAATGGATCACAACCCTCAGTGTCGCGCCCGTACCGGCCCGGGACCGGCAACGGGATCGCAACCCTCGGTGTTGCTCCCTGCACCTCG